AGAGGAGAGAGAGAGAGAGAGAGGGAGAGAGAGAGAAAGAGAGAAAGGGAGCGGAGGCGGAAAGGGTAAAATTTTCAGATTTCTCTCTCTCTACTGGATAGTGCAGAACGGAAGGTGTTTTTTTGTTAAGGGCCATTAGCAAATGTTGCTGTATTATTTGTTTGATCCATAAAAACTTATCCAAACAACTTTTCACGTATATTTCTGGTTTTTTTTTTTATTTCAAAAGATTTTTTTAAAATTTCAATTTAGTCATTATCATATCAGTTAATTAGATGTTTTGAAGAGGAAATTATTGTCTTTTTAAATTTTACGAAATGACAAAAATAAGTTTAAGAAGCTGTAGAAAGATAAAAATGAACAAAATTGAAGGATAAAACAACACCGGAACTATAATTGCTAAAAATATGAGAGGGAGAGAGAGAGAGAGAGAGAGAGAGATGTTGCAAATTTTGCAGGAATTCATTGGAAGTAAAATAAATAAAACTTTGATTTGTTAAGAGTAATATTGTTAGGATAGTTTAATGTTATCTTAGGAAAAATTCAACTGATACTGATAAGGTTCAAGTAATAGAACTGATAAGTTAACATATGAGTAATCTTTTAAAAAAAAGGATAAAATAAAAACATTAGTTTACAATATGCATCAGTTAAAAGTTTAAATTAACAACCATTAAGCATTAATTTAAATATATAAAAATGAAATTCAAATTGAAAATATGAAAGGTCAAACGGTTAAGCAATCCTACCGAAGTTTTAAAATATACGGTAAGCAATTTTTGCAACATAAAGTTTGAATAGGCTAAAAGTTTTTGTAGAAATCGTATCATTTCAATTCATAAAACAATGAAGAACAATTAAAAAAGTGATTTTTGAAAGATCGCAAGTAGCGTTACATTTTTGAGCAAATAAAAACAACTACAGTAAAGTAGCGTTAGATTACTGTAGTTGCTATTTGGGAATGTCTTTTAAAACTCAAATGAATTTACAGATACTGTAATACTTCTCATTGTATATTAGTATTCTATTTGAACTCAAGGTTTGTCTCATCATTAATCAAATTAATGACAAATACACGGTCATAAGTCACAGACTGCTGTAGTTTGAATATTATTTCCTTTCCAAAACTATGAGAAAAAATTATACTATACGTTATAGTTTTTTTCTTTAAAAATATACTAAAGAATTTATTATTCGAATGAAAATGATGAAAAATTTCAAATACTGTTTACAAAAATCAAAAAATCAATCTTACCAGGGATACAATCATTCTTCCCTCAACATCTACTGACAGTAGTTCAACTCTTTAACAGTTAAATCCAACATCTACTGATAGTAATTCAACCCTTTAACAGTTAAATCCAACATCTAATGATAGTAATTCAACCCTTTAACAGTTAAACCTGACACCTACTGATAGTAGTTCAACCGTTTAACAATTAAATCATTGTGAAACAATATTCCAGAATAGATTCTAATATGAACTGTTGATGCATTCTATTCTTATATAATCCTTTTCGCAACATTTTAATTGATATCATAATCGATCATCTAATGAACGAGTAAGATTTCTATTTCAAACAGTTGCTAAATTTTATTTGAAAATAAAAACATTGAAGAGATAAATAAGAACAGGTGATTAAAAAACAGTAGCATTTTAATCAACAGTTTATTTTAACCAACAATAGTTGATGAATGGTAAAGAATGATTTAAATCCTTTTTTCGAAAGGGGGAGAAAAAAAACTTAATTCATAACTTGTACTATTTCAGATTATAAAGTAAGTTTGTTTTTCTTTCTGATAATTCGCAGAGTAAATCACTGAATAGTAATAATGATGACAGATAAAGGGAGTTATGAAAGAGGATATGATATTTCGGAGAAGAATATTAGAATTTCTCTAAATTCATTTTAAAGCATAGAAATAAAAATAAGAGAAAAGTTAATTAAAATGGAAAATAACGAAAGAATAATGTATATGGTAACAATAACATTTCCAGTTGAACAAAAAAAAAACCTTTTTTTTTTTTCATTTTAAAAGATAAAATCAATCACTTAAAGGAGTTTAAAATTAATGAAAGGACAAAGATGATTACTGATCCATTGTGCATTTAATAAATCAAAATATTTGATTAAATATGTAACGTAAACTAACAACATTTATTTTTTAAAATTCTAAACATTGATCAAACCATAATATTATTATAAAAATTTAAGAATTTTTTACTTTTCATTTTGAAAAAGATTTATTTGATTTTATTTCAAACTATAATACATTATTGGCTGATCATTTCATGATATAACTAAACATATTAATACACTAAGTTACATGCAAAAGAATCTATCTTTTTGATATGAAGCAAAAATGAAAGAAATTAATAGCAACAAAAATAGAAAAAAAAAAAAAATGAAATATGGGAAGAAAGAACAACCTTTCAAATCTTGCAAATTCAATAAGTTGAGCTGCTGTAACAAAACATTCAGCAAGAGATTTTACATTTCTAAAAATTTTCCACTTAGTCGTCCAGTACTCATTGATTGAATTTTTAGAAAAGTTAGAAAACAGCACCTGAAGAGAATCTTTCTTGAAGCGAACATTGTGTACTTCATCAAGACTATTTGTATAATAGTTAGGACTCTAAATGGATCACAAGTTTGTATATTTTGAAGTTGGCTGTATTTCCTTTTTCTAAAGATAGAAGTTTCTGATTTACAATGAATATTGTCCGGCATCCTTATACATTTACCATTTTTCATTCCATTTTATAGGAAATTTACATTGTCCATTATGTCTTTGATGAAAAAAGTTAATCAGTTAGCATTGAATCGAATCTTTATTGGTTTTTCTTCCATTACTCAATCAAAAACCATATATGGAAAAAAGAGAAACACTTAAGATATAAGTTGGAAATAACGCTATCTGAAAAAGATCATTTATCCAGTGATATTTCATTTTATACAACAAAATGAATTTAATGAGATCTAATACTTTAAATTCATTTAGACCAGTGATGGTCCAAAAAAAATAAAGTAGAGCATATAAGAACAGCCGCTGTCTTCGTGACAGTGTGGTGAGCAGAAAATAGACAGTGGCTGTTAGTATCAGTGTTTGATAAAGTAATGCGCTAAAAGTTCTAATTAAACTTATTTTCAAATTAGTAGAGTTTATTATTTTACAAATAAAAAGGTTATAAATGAAAAAGCCGAACTGGTTCCTGGTTAAGGAAAGACTGGGAACTAATGACTTAGACGAATAGCTTCTGCAGTCATAAAAAGTGAACACAAAGCTTTTCATCCGTTTTCTTGCTCATTCAATTCCTAATGCAATCTAAAGCTTTGAAAGCAATTAACAATGACAAAATTTCAAATAAAAATATTACCAAATTCACACGAATAGACAACTATTTATGATTTCGTTTAAAGAAAAATCTTCAAGATATTATCGCGCTAAGTGAACAACAGAGAATATGAAAAAGAAAATGGATATTACAGAAAGCCTGGAAATTTACATTGATTCAACTATTCACGTGTTTTATAATCTATTAATTTAAGCTACTCTTTGTCCTTAAAATATAGTCTAAAGTTCTTTTCAAAAATTTTAAAATAAAAAAGATGCAATAAATTTATGCCTATCGGAAACTTCACCGAAGAATTCAGCAGTATTTCAATCGTACGGTGGTAAGCCCATACTTTCCGGTTTAAATTCTTCAAAATTCTTCAAAATACACCCAATTTTGTCGATCACTTCTTCGGGTGGTTTCATATATGACATATCGGGAACCATAACAACTTGCATACCAGCAGCAATGGCTGCCCGAACACCATTTGCTGAATCTTCAAATACCAAAACATTCGCAGCACTTTCTACTCTTTCTTTGAATCGATTCATTGTAACCAAAAATGGATCCGGAGCTGGTTTTCCACGTTTAATTTCTGGATCACCTCCAGCCAAAACCTTAATCGACCTTTTGCTATATCAAATCAAACAGTGTTAAAAGCGTGGATTCAGTAACATGTGATCATTCCATTATTATCTGCTTTACATAATATCTGTTAAACTTTCATGAACAAAGCAAAAAGAAAAGATTACAATTAAAGAAAACAAATCGAGTAATTCCTTATGCATAGCCATCTTTGCATCAAACTCGATTTTATTCGAACTAGTACATATTGCCATATGTATCTTATGCTTCGCTAAATGTCGTACTAATCGCATAATACCAGGAACAAGCGGACATTTAGCCAAAAGTTCATCGGCTAGCGCATTATACTGTTTACGGTATTCCTCAGTTGAAAGTTGTCCATCCATATTAAACTGAAAAATTTAGGAGTAGAAAATCAAATGCTTCCGTAATTCTCAATGGTTTTCTCATAAATCATCTAGAATTTTAGTTATATTTCTGTATTTTTCTGCTGATTGGAATTCATGAAAATTGAAGCTTTAAAGATGAGAAGTAATGCAAAAATTCGGAAAATGAATTCAAAATCCAATGAAACTATTCGACAATTTGTCTGCACCGTAACCTTTATTTCCCTTTCTTGCTCAATACCTTATTATGACTTTGGTTAAGTAAGCATTGTGACAATTCTTAAATTTCAAAATTTAATTAAAAAATTCAAATTACATGTTGAATGAGAAATGGTGCACTGTTTGAAATTGGTGTCCCTGTGATTCGAAGCATTAGTTCAGGCGTAAAAATTTTCCCATATTTGCTCCAAATTTTCTGATATATTTGGAAGTTAACACGCTCTGAGTCAATCAATACACCATCCAAATCAAAGATCACATGTGTTATTTTTGGTTTTGAACCCATCAATCTGAAAATTTTCACGGTTTTTAAAAATTTTATAAACTTAAATTTGAAAATTTCAAATTTGCATTTGATCTTGTACACGATATAAAACAAAATACACCAAATACTTCCCCCAGATATGATGGTAATCTTCCCGAGATATGATGATAATCTTCCCGAGATATGATGATAATCTCTTTTGAATCACCACATTTGTTTCGCTCTAAGTTATTTGTCAGTAATAACAAACAATCAGTTCCATAACGGCTCTATTCAATTCAGCAGAAAAATAATTACTGTAAACCTCTCAGAACAACCGGAAGACTGTCATTATGATGTTCCTGATTTAAAACCGGAATAAATCCCATTGAGAGGAAGGGAACGAAATGTGACGCTGAGTGAATAGTATTTAGATAGGCTTGCCAAAGATTGATAAGAAAGAGAGAGAGCGGAAGTTTAAGGACAAGAGAGAACGAAAGGGAATGAAATAGCGTTGGATGATTGGAGAGCGTAGAGATCACTAGGATTCGTTAGGGTTGAAGGAGATTTGTGGATACTCGGCATCCTTAAACAGGAATGAGGTTGGGATTTCGTTGTTTTTTTGTTAAACGAGGAAATAATTGGAGAGCGGAGAAACATAATTAGAATGACGTTTGATGTATTCATGAATTAGAGAAGCAGAGTGACATGCAGTTTTGCAAGTTTCTCAAAAATTCCTCAAAATTTGTAATATAATTTAATTTCAGTTTAATTTCTTTCTGGTTTTGGCCTGATATCATTGCAGTGATGTCCACTGTCAATTGAATGTATTATTGGAGTTAAAAATATGCCAAGTAATGTCAGAAATTTAGATGGGTTAGTCGGCTGTATTGTTTGTTTTACCTTTTTGCATTGTTTAACCTCTAATGTACCGCATATACTCATGCGTGCATCCATATATATATGCGCACACACATACATGTATACATACGTACATACATACATACACACATACACACATACACACATACACACACACACACACACACACACACACATACACAAACAAACACACATATGTTCCCATATTTATGACTTTATTTCAGCATAAGAAATTTTTACACATATTTTTCAAAATTGTGGTTGACTTTTCCGATGGATTAAATTATCCTCACATGACAGTAATTTAAAATTCTTTGAAAGAACGCATAGCCTACCCGTCCATATCCTGTCCTCTATTAAATCCGTTTGTTTATTAATTTTTCTTATAATGTTGATTAGCAGACTGAATTTTTCTGAACTCCTTTCTGAACTCCTTGAACTCCTTCAGAAAAATTCAGTCTGCTAATCAACATATTCAGAATATTCAGCGTTGGTTATTCAGAGCACATCATTTATGGGTTACCTTTGGCTTCCATTGTCTGCACACCCGTAACAGGAATGTATATAGATAGCTATATGTCTATATATTTTATTCTGTGGTACCAAACATTTACTTGTTACTGTAAAGCATTATATATGTACCACTTCATTTATGAAATTCCAGCTACTTCCATCAATGTTACCGACCGGATTATAGCTTGGCTGTGTTGAAACATAATTGTCGCATCAGTATTTTCGGTGTATTTGATATTCAGGTAACAATTCTGATACTTATGTCAAATCCACTTACTTGGATTTGTGGTCTGAAAATAGATTCCTGAAGTGGATTAGAACAAAAGGAATATGTTGGCAAGAAAAAAAAAAGGCAAAAGGGGAAAAGAAATAGTAGGGTAATACTTACTAAACTTTTTCCAAATCATGTTTCTTCTAAGGTGCTGTTCGGCAAAGTAATATCACGTGGCTATGAGTTTGAATCCGGCGCTTTTGGAGAAGAGCGGTTTATCAAAATTGCTGCACCATATTCAATCGGTCCTCCGGCGCAGTTTGTTTCGCTTCAAGATAATCTTTTCAATCTACATCGTGTGAAATGGCGACTCAAAGAGGTCTTCTATTTCAAACTCTTCATTATTATCATAAAGTTGTCTTCACGAAATATTAATCCATCACTATAAACACAAAAAGAGAAAGAAAGTCACACTTCTCATTGAATTTGAAATGTATGTTCATTTTTTAAATTTGTAATTCTTTGTATCCCTGTTCTTTTTTATATTTTATTTTGTCCTGTTATTCAGCTGACAAACACAGTGGATTCGATATTGGAGGAATTCGAAAATGGTGATAGTATACTGCTTTTCCGATTCAATTTTTCAAAGATTTATGCTTGTCTTCGCGAGCTTCATGGTCAGGTATGGAAATAGGGATCATTTCTATAGTTTAGTTCTTGGATTTCGAAAGTTTTATATCAATGTCATTCCTATTTCTTGCTAAATACTGCTTATTGATGCAAATCATTCTGTGTTTTTGTCTGGCACTGCTCTTTGTAGTGAGATTAGAGTGAAATTTGTTAGAGCATAAATTCCTTTTGGGTCATGTGATCAATGATATCGATTACTGCTTGATGAAGAATTTATGTAGTTTGAGATACCAATCTGGTTTATGTGGTTTTAGATACCATATTGTATTCGTATTTGCTCCCACAGAAATGAGCGTAGACTCAACAAATAGTGCTATCACAAGAAAGTAGCCATCCATATAGGTCACTCTAAAGGATTTTGGTTTTCCAGATCTTTTTCCTACCACCAGACTGCAATGAATGTTATTCAGTGGGACCGCTATGCAGCGCGCTTCAAATTAAATATCCACCGCTTTATATGGGTAAAACCGCTGACAGCATTTTGCAATTAACAGAGCAGATTTTAAATAAATCGCGTAAGTCTTAATTATTGTGTAACTAGATGGATTAAGCTGCTGGAGCTAATGAATTTGCCAAATTAAGTACCTTTTATTATGGGATTTTCGCTACCACTTCACACTAACAGAAACTTTTCGATCAATATCTGTTTCTCAGTGAACGTTAGAGTTACGAGTTAAGATCATAAATGTTGGATAGTCGATTAGGTTTAGAGAAAATCATTGGAAACTTAGTAGGCAGTATCATGGAGCAAATATAAATAATTTTTAATATGACCGAACAAACCAGGATACTTTCGCTTTGCAGGAGAAGGGAAAAGGAGTATAACGATGATTATAGGAAACAAGAACACAGGCAAATCGATGCTTACTCGAGTATTAGCTAATTCACTCCTTGGAAAGTAATGTTTTCACATTTGGCTTATATATTTTTTTTCCTGATAGATTTTCAGTATTATTTCAAAGATTCATTTTATTCAGGAAAATGACATTTAGAAATTTTAAATTAGAAAGAGCTTCATATTGGTTCTTCGTAATGAAGGTGCCGTAATAATGTTCTTTTTCAATTTTTCAGTTTCTAAAAAATTTTCGCTTATTCTTAAACTTTTTGAAATTAGTTGAAAGTTCGGTAGAGGCTATAGCTTCAGAATGAAAATAAATTTTTTAAAAACAGAAAAATCAAGTGTTCCGAATTCTTTAGCTGTGGTTTCCTCTACTGCTTTCGTTCTAAGATTTATTATGATTTTTTTCCGAATTTTACCATTTTAGAAGTCGACCGCCTCCATATATTCTTGACTGTGATGTTGGGCAACCAGAAATGAATCCACCAGGAAGCATTTCACTAATAAAGCTCAATTCGCCACTTCTAGGTGCTTCTTGCGTTTGTGGTTGTTTTCTGAGAAATTAAACCTTTCCCAGTTCTCTTTTCTTTCCTTCTCTCTCTCTCTCCCTCCCTTCCTAATTTTTTTATTTATCTCTTCGTATATTCAACAAAAGTTATTTGATTTTTAAAACTTTCAGGTGCACCAGCGTTCCAGCAGCGGGTCGTTTTGTCAGATACTTATTTTTACGGAAGAAT